GGACCGCTGTCATCAGATGTGCTTCTATTGTAAAGGAGAGTGAGAAAACTGGTGAATTAAGGAGCAGAGAACATAAAGACAAAAGCAAAACCACTGAGGACATTTTTTAAATAGTCAAAAGGAAATATAAAATTAGAAGCAGAAATCAATTAATATTTAAAAAAACACTATACAAGGGAAAGGATGAACAGTGTTGAAAACTACTACTTTGTAAAGGCTAAATAGTTTGGCAATATTGCTCAGGAAAAATAGCACCCAAATCCACTGAATCAGAGATACCTGGGGAACAGAGCGATTAAGAAACACCTGGAAAATAATTTGAGAGACATTAAAATTTCACATGCAATTTAGCAATCTATCTTATAATATAACTTACCAATCTTAATTAAGAAAATATTAGTAAACATGATAATTTGACTAATTGAATCAATGATTTGTACTCTATCACATTACTTAAGAGCACCAAACCAAACAATTATGCAGTGGAATTATGCCATTTTCAAAATAGATAATTTCTAACTTTGATAAATTTTCCAGAAAAATAGAAATATAAGAAACCCTTTCCAGCTTATTTTATGAGGTTGCTCTAAAGTTGTGGTGAAGTCAGCAGGTAGAGAATTTCTAAACCAATTTCTATTATTTTACTTATGACTTTTGCATTTTTGTTTGTTACTAACAAGAATCTTTAAAAATGTAATAATTATATATTCTAGGATAAGACAAGGTTATACCAAAGAAGAAAATTTCATTAAGTAACAATGGAATATTAGAACAGTAATGGAACCTACACACCAAGAGGAAAATTTGTAGGATTCTGCAGTTCAGAATGGACCAAAAGCTTCCAGAACACAGTTTACTTACTGGTAAAATATCAGAAGTATTGAATTTTAGAATTAACTCAAGGAGAGCAGAACTCATATAATATCTATATAGCTTTTATAGTGGGAGCTCAGATTAATACAATAAAATAGAAAAATAAGAAAATGAAAGTGGTACTTTTGTGTATAAAGAGACAAAAAATGACAGCATACTTTCTACAAGAGTATTTACAGACAAAATAAGAGATGTTGACACATTTCCTGGATTCAATTAATATATAATAATAGCATATATGCATAATTAATAACATTAGTTAAAAATTATCCTTCACAAAGTCACAAAGTACTCTTAAGTATTTGAGTATTGGGATGTATACTACATGTAAAATTCCCCGAATGACAGAAGACAATGTAAATAGAGAAATAAAAAGAACTGAGTAAGCAGAAAGATACATCACGTTCATGGCTGGCAGAGTCAAGATCAAAAATACGTCCATCTCCTCTATCTGGGTCATGTACAGTGAGATCCTCACCAGAGTTAAATGCAAAGAAGGTGCTTTGTGTTTCATATTTGAACTTGTGGACAAGCTTTTCATGAAAATCATCTGTCCACTGACAAACTGCTAGAACACATATCTTTTTTTTAAGATGGGTGTTTCACTCTATAGCACAGCCTGACCTTGAACTCATGGTGATCCCCCTGTCTCAGCCTCTCTGGTGCTGTGATTACAGGAATAAGTAACTCTATCTTAGAGTGCTTGTCTTTATAAAGCACAGACTTGGACATACGATTTCTTTTAGAAATGTTGATCCCTCAAATTCAAGATAAAATTATCAAAATCTCAAACAAAACTCATAGACACTCCATGGCATGATACAGGCCTGTCTTGACCCTTATCTACTGCTTTCAGCTGGTAATCAGGCTTCTGTAATTCTTATTAGGTATAATATTAACATGCAAGGGGTCTTCAGTACAGTCTGTAGTATAAGAGGCATTTGACTCTAGTCTGAGTGTAGTGTGGTGAACAGTCTGAACGCTGCTAGAGGCCAATTTTCTGACTTACTGGGTATTTTGTAAGCAACATGACTAGAGTAACATGGAAAATCATGTTCTAGTTTGTAAGATTAAAGTTTCTGATTCTTTATTTCTTGACTTCCCTGTTTGATTAATCTCCACACCTAGTAAGGGATTTAATTAAGAAATATTAGGCAACTGCAGCTTTAGGTGTACTTACACACCTCACCGTTCCAGGTATATTGAAGGTATTCGTTTAAGTACAATTTTAACAATTTAAAACTTTCCTATTCCCCTTCCTTCTTCAGGTTTGGGTTCTTTCTACCCAAATGATTTTAGACTCACTCCAGCAGAAGTGGGCTTCCTGATGAACTGTGAGGTAAAGCAATACATATGGCGCTCACCCATAGTTTGAGCCACATCTACCTAATTGCCTGAATTTGCACTTGACTTTCTGCCAATCCTTCCTACCCCATTCATTACTTCACTGGTAAATTTGCTTTCATTAAGTCATCTTTTTTGGGGGGGGGGTGGTTAAAAAGACAATGGCTCCTTTACTTGAAGTTTGACATTACACAATGACACATATTCAAAGATGTAACAAAGTAGTTTATTTCCTTGTTTTTCGCTTGAATAACTATTTAGACCCAACAGGGCCTGTAGAAAAAGTTGCCTTTTAGAAATTTGAACTGTGAAATTCCAAATGCAGATAATAGATCTACCATAGTATCGAATAAAATATGTTAGAAGATTGATGTGTTCCAATCACAAAATAACTTATTGGCTATGTTTTCCTGTGGTGTACTTGATGGTCAGGCAGGTGGGAGAGGGGCAAGGCTTTCTAAAATACTTTTTGAATCTTTTGCTCTATGATGTAAACAATAATAAAGATAAAGGAAGAAGTTAACTTCAATTAACTTTCACTAAGCAAAACACAGAATAACAAGAAATGGTTTGCAAAGAAAAGGCAAAAGGGAATAGGGACTACACAGGTGGGATGCAAAATTTAAAAATTGTCATGACAGGCTGTCTTAACAATGGAAATAACTTACAGTCTTTACAGGTGGAGGAAGCACACCATCATCTGAGAGTATCTGACTTTGAATGAACTCATGACAAGTGTCCCAGGGAGCCCACAAACACACCACAAAGGGGTCACTTTACACCAGGACTCATGAGTAGCAACTGTTCTTGAAAGAAACATATTTCTGTCCAGGGAATCCGAGCCATTCCAAAGGATTTAATGAATTACAGGGGTATGTAGGTCAGTCACATCTGTTCTGAAACGAGATACCTTTTCCTGTTTCTACACTGAGTAACCCGTAACCCTATTAGCTTCAATCTTAAAGATTTTTCCTGTTTGATTAGCTGTGCAACAGTCTGGGCCTTTGCGTATATCTCAGCACATGGAACTCATCCGTTTTATTATTTGCTCTCCATAAGCACAAAGAAGAAAGATGCAAAAGCACAAGAGAAATCAGATCTGTGTTAGGTTCGAAGGTCTTATTTTTATGGCCTGTCCTAACAGATGCCTGTGGAAGATAAGTGGGTCTAAACTGACAGCTATCACCTTTCCAAGATGGAGTGTTACCAGTACTCTCCTTTTCAATTATTAGCTTCCACTGCCTTCTGTGTCAAAGGAGAGAAGCAAGCCTCTCCCTTTCTCAGAGGCAGGCACACACTTGCATCATAAGCATTTGATGTCTATTACATAGATGCACCGAGAACCAGAGGTAAGGATTCCTTCTCCAAAATCTTATTTGAAAGCATAACAATTGGTTTGCTAAGTTCAGAGGGGAAGGATTAAAATGAGGGCTGCACAAATCTAAAACAAAGACAGACAGGGAAGCCAGTGGAAGGGAATGAATGGTGGGAAAGTCTCACATCCTATAGGGAGCTTAAAAGAAGGCTTGGGGTTAAAGCAGCTGGTTTGTATTCCATTCCCTACAGCCTTCTTTTGCACAAACGATGAAATGTCACATAGTGAGAAAGAAACAAGCACCCACCCCCATTTATATGCCCTTAGATCTTACCTGTGAATAGACAAGGTTTTGCCAGTGTTGTGAAGCAGGGTAATTTCCACCCGGAAATCTCGCGAGGCTAGCCTGCAGAAGCGTTGAGCTTCTCATTAAAGACTTCACGTCAAGCTGCAAGAATTTGTCAGGATGGTTGTTATTTGGCAAAACAGAAAGATCCATGTCTCCCTTCATCTACCATGTAAACAAAGCAAGCGAAGCTGCCCCTGTCAGGCGCCTCCATTATTAATGAGGCTGAGGATGCTGCAGCTGGCAACTGATGCCAGGTCTCCGCAGCACACAAAAGCCACTTTCTAAAGGCCACGTCAGCACACATTGCCCTTCCTGCCTTATACACCACACACACACACA